GGGGCGCGCCGGTGCCAGGCAATTAATTAAGCTTGCAGCGAGCGAGAGCCTGTGGCACCTGGATTTGCGGGGGGAATTTGGGGCGACTGGCGTACGGTGTGGAGGGAGGGACGCTACGGGGAAAGGGAGAGCGGCGTCGGCCGGCCGTGCTCCCCGCCCACCCCGCGCTCTGTGCCTTCCCGTGGGGGGCTCGGATGCGGTGACGGATCCGTCCCTGTCCCGCTTTCCGCGCCAAGAGTCAGTGTCAGGGATGACGGTGACGGAAACTGGGGAGGCGCAGTCCCGCCTGCGGGGAGGGACGGAGCCAGACCCGCCGTCACGCCCCACGGACGCCATTGTAGCCGTGGCTCAGGCGAGGGTTCGCGTCGTTGGGAGAGGATTAGAGGAGCCGCGGCGTTTTGACGGCCTGCCTCTAATTTGCATCTGTAACGAAGCGGGAGCCCAGCCAGGTTCTGTTCTTTTGTGTTTACTTCTGAGGAAGTGTGTTTATTTCCGATGATTACAAATAAATCTCCTCTGCCTTTGCTCCAGCTGCTTGGAATGAATGCATTTGGAGCCCGTTCGCTCTGGAGCTGGGGCGGGTACCGGGAATCTCGTTGGGAGTCTCCTGACAATGGAATTCAGAATTTTTTCTCCCAGGCCAGGGTGCCGGGGTGTTTGCTGGCCCCTGTGAAGGGTGCTTTAGGATGTAAACTTCCCAGGGTGACGCGCCTCCCCGTCGCTGTGCAGGGGAGTCGCTCCCGATCCGGGGGAGCTATTTGAGCCGTCAAAAAGCGGGTTGGCAGGCCGGTTCGAGACCCCTTTCGGCATCGCTGTCCATCACCTGTTGAGGTGTGTTGCCTACGGGAGAGAAAAGCGGTGTGGGTTTGAAGGACTGTAGAAGTAGAGGGCTGTTGCTTTGCCAAAGGGAGCGTGAGGGGTTTGGGGTGTTGCAAAGATGAGCATCTCGTCTGAGCCGAGCGGCTTGGCTGGGGATCGGGAGCGTTCTCGGCCCCACGGGTGCGAGCCAGGCTCCCGGACCGCTCGGGTTGCGCGTCAACATTGTGGGGTCCCGAGCATCCCATCAGTCGGGATATTTTGCACCCACAGAGAGGGGTTTGGGAGACGCGCCGTGTGCTGGTGACACTTGGCCTGCCGCTTATTCCTCCAAACCGGTGCTGGAAAATGGGTGCTGACCCCAGACACCGTATTTCTCTCGCTACGGGGCAGCCGTCGAGGGCTGGGGCGGTCCCCTACCCCCGGGCTTGGTGAGGGTTGAAGGCGGTGGGCGTTAACGTCACGTCCCACATGTAGGAGAAGTGCTGTCAGAGTCACTGGTGGGGCCGGTCAGGAGCTTGCTCTGGGAGCGGCGTGGAGCGCTCTCTTAATCGGTCTGGGAGGACGGAGACGGTCGCTTGGCACCACCGAACGTGAAGAGCATGGCGGCGGACTTAACTGTGTCGTTGATGTTAAGTGAACTAATTCCTTGGCAAACCTCAGAATTAGCATTTAAGGATGAGGAATAGGGGCCATTAGAGGGGAAGCGGCGCAGCGCCGCCGCCCCCAGCTTCCTCCCTCATGCGTCTCATCGCCCCGCTGCGTTCGGGTTCGTCACCCGAGGGGCCGTTCGTATCAGCATGAGCGTCGGGGGGAGCTGGAGCTGGTGTGAGACCCAGCATCCAAGGCTCCCCGGCGAGCCGCTCTGGTGGAGAATGTCCCTGGTGGGAGGCAGCCGAAGGGATGCAGAGGGTGAAAAGTCAGCGCTCGAAGGCGGCGAGGCTCTAAGCGGGATGCACGACGACGGGCCACGTTGCACGAAGAAGCACCGCAGGGGGGGAGCCGAGAGGAGGTGGGTGCCGGGGGCTTGGGTTTGGGCCGATGGTATCGGTCCCGAGATAGTCCCCTGCCTCGCCGATGGGTTTTCTCTGGGTGAACTGCAGAGCCAGGATGGGTTTATTTCCCTCCCGTCTGACGGTCGCTTTATTGTCTTTTGTTGCCTCTGGCCTCGTGAGGCAGGTTTTCTTCTGGAGATGGATACGGCGCCTTCAGGAGACCGTTAATGGGGGTTTGTCTTTGTGCTTAGTTGGATCCCTTGCTGGGAAAACCTGGCGGCCCACTTTATTATCCAGCTTTGTCAGAGCTTGTGTGCTGTAGCGGAACACTTCGCGGAAGTCGCTTTACCTGTTTGCTTACTGGGGACATTATCATAATCCCGGTCCGTCAGAAATAGGTAGTAAAGACGGCTTGGCGGATGAGGGAGCGCGGGCGGGTAAAGAAGCCGTCGGGGTGTCGGTCAGAGTGTGGCTGCGAAGCGTCAGGTCCCAGGGCGTGGGAAAACTCGCGGCGGGCAAGACGGTGCCTCTGGAAACGCCGCGCTCTCCGTTGTGGCCGACGGACGGCGGCTTTTCTGCTGGCAGCTGCTCTGACACGTGGCTAAGAGGTGCAGGAGGGCCGGCTTTTTGGAAGGAGGGCGGTTTGTCCGGCGCCTCCCCGCCGGGCTTCGGCGGAGAGAGGCGCGAGGCTAAGCGAGTAGAGCCCGAGGGACCTGGTGCCAAATTAGCTATGGAGCGGCAGCACGCAAAGAGAGAGCTCGAGGGATGGGGAGAAGGAGCCTTTGCCTCCTCGCTCTTGGCCTGGCTTGGTTACGAGAAGGACTCTCCGAGTTGCCTCCGCTCATCTGTTTTGAGCGGTTTTGAGGGCGGCGCCGGACACTCAGGTGACGGCGGGAGCTCCTCGTCCCCGTCGCTTCGAATCCTAATCCTTACACTTCCCCCGTAATGAGGGGACCCGAGGGTGCCTTGCAGGGCTGTAGTCTGGATATTTAGATGAGCGCAGACATGCAAGTTGTCTGTTTTACATATTGCTGCCCTGATTTTTCAGTGCACGCAATGAATAATTTACAGAAGCCGTGTGTAAGTATCTCTTTATTATTCATGATAATGAAGTGAGACAGCAGTAATAGTCCACTAGACCGGAATCCCCCAGGGCCGAACTTAACTCGGCCGCGCTTAGCTCTCGTCCAGGTAATTTGAACGAAGACGGGGGGTGGGGGTGGCTCGGCTTCCCGACGAGGAGGAGGAGGATGGGTCAGCCGGCGCCTGGCTGGTGTCTGGCCGGCGCTGCCACAGGCATCGGGGCTCATCGGACGCCGGGGCGGCCTCCTGGCACACCGGCGGCACCGAGGCGGGCTCTCCGTCTTTCCCAGCGTCCGTAGACGTACGGCTCCCGCAAGGGGGTACTTACTCGTTTGCGGGAGGATATACAGCTCGTTCCCGTGAACCGAGCGCCCGGGGGGGACCCTGAAATATGCCGAGTATTGTCCCTTCCCTCCACCCAATTAATAACCTTGATCGAGGCGACGCTTCGCCAGCCCGGCAAGGGAGGCGTATAACACCCCCAAAGCCTCTGCAGGAGAGGCGACGAGGATAGGGACGGCCCGCCAGCCCGTCTCTGAATTTATTGGCTCGCCGAGAGGGACTCGCGACTTCTGTGATCGAATATAGGGGTTTTTTTTCCTCAGTTGTCGGCCGCAGAAAGCCGCCAGTGCCACGAGCTAACGCCTCGCTCGGTTTTCCCCATTTGCTTTCATGCCTAGAGAGAGGTCCCCTACCGTGGTCCTAGGGGCGGGGGAGGGAAGGGAAAACTCCCGAGAAACGTCGGCCTCTGAATTCAACCGAACGCTCGGTGGTTTTGCTGCGGGCGGTACGGTGATGGCAGAGAAAGCCACAAGGAAAGAAATGGAGAGTAATCGGTTGAATGGAATGGAAAAGCCATGTTCTCTGGGAACATCCTAATGCCCTTTCCCTCCCCTCCCCGCTCTGTTCTTTGCCAAGCGTGAGCCAGTGCTGAGGATTGGAGCCGCAGAGCCCCCGTGCGTCTCGGAACGGGGAGGGTGGGAGCCAGGCAGGAAATAAATAACGGAAAGGAGCGTGTTGTGTTTGCCAGGCAGCCGTAGGATTTACGGCCGCTTATCCAAACGTTCCCTTCTCCTCGCCGCGCCCCGGCTTCGCTGCCCGCAGCCCTTTTCCTTTTTATCCTCTCCCCCCGTGCCTGTGCCGCGGCCCCTGTCCCCCAGCAGCGGGCACGTACATCACCCCAGGGGTGGCTCGAAGGCCGTGCCGACAAGGCGAAACGTCAGCTCATTTTATGGCTTCGTCTGAAAATCTAGGCGTGCGGCGAGGGGGATGCGGCACTGAGGGGCGAGAGGGGGCTACGGAAAGTCTGCGTGGCTTGCGGGGGTCCGGCGTGATAGAGTTGTTGTCGGTGGTTCCCCAGCTCTGTATGAAAAATGGATGAGGTGGGGCTTTTTTTCTGGTGAATTTGTCCTTTTTGTGAAATCTCAGGTGAAGAGGGCACGGGACGGGGCGCCGTGTGGTCCGTGCCAGGGGTTGTGACCCTCTCGTCTTGTCTTTTGCAGGTGTACGGTGGATGACCGGGTCACGCGAGTGGCGTGGTTGAACCGCAGCACCATCCTGTATGCTGGCAATGACAAGTGGTCTATAGACAACCGGGTGGTCATCCTCTCCAACACCAAGACCCAGTACAGCATCAAGATACACAACGTGGACATCTACGATGAGGGCCCGTACACCTGCTCGGTGCAGACGGACAATCACCCCAAGACTTCGCGCGTCCATCTCATCGTGCAAGGTGGGTTTTAACAAACCGTCGACAACCTGACCGTTGGATACGGAGGGAGGTCTGGGCTCGCGACGGCTTTGGAGGCCTCGGTGACAGACGGGACCGACGTCTGTCGCCTCGGGGATCGAGCGGCACGGGGACCGGGGGGCAGTCGGGCGCTTCCCAGCCAGGGAGGAGGCGGAACTCGCGTCATCTCGGCCTCGCCGTGTTGTAAGGTCATTGGGAGGAGCAGAGGACGGCTGAAAACCGAAATCGGGGCTGGCTTCTTGCTTGTTTCTTTCCCCTCTCCCGTCCCTGCGGCGGAGGAGCGGACTCCGAAGGTATGAGGCGCAGAGGTTTTGGGAGAGAGGGCGGGTCGTGTGAGCGTGTCGAAGTCGTCGCGGTGCCAGGAAGGGCTGTAGGCACAGAGTTTTCTAGGCGAGGGCGTCGGCGGAGCGGACGCCGTCGGGTCGCACAGCAGCATTCCTGAGGGCCACTCTGATGGGGGTATCGGGGGCGCCCGTAGTGTGCCGGTGGACTCCGCCTCCGGATCCTCGCGGCTTTGCGCCGACTGCCGGCTTTTTTCCGGTCTCTAGATTAATTTTTCAGAGTTACTGTTAGTTCAGGTTAGATAAAGATAATGAAAGTTTCCTAATGCTCTTAAAGAAGATTTATCTGGCCGAGTAGAAAGCTCTCAGAATACAATAAAGCGTATATAAAAGCAGCACCTAATCTTTCCTTTAATTTCCAACAGCCGATGGATATTGATGTAGCAATGAGCGAGTCCACAAAAATTTTTCGGCCTCGACACGGCTCTGCAAAGCCCCTGATGTAGATCTGTATGTCTTTATGTATCCTTCTCGTTTGGAGGAGGCGGGGTTCGGTCGTGGCCGCCCATCCGAGCGGTTTTCCTGGCCGGTCTGAGCAGGAGCGTGTCGGGGGGCCGCAAGGCAGAGCGTCCCGTCCGTTTCCCTTCCTCAGGCCTCTCCCTCCCCCCATTTTTGAGTTGCGTGCGAGATGTCTGTCTGCAAAGTTTAATCTCTGTTTATCCTGTCTGTTCTTTAATGGTGCTAATCCATCTAGTCAATACCTGTGAAGTAGCAGAGGGCTTTGCAACTAGTGAAATTAGGCGAACCGGCAGCGGCGCTCAGCGTCCGCTCGCCTCTCCCCTTTTTTGGGAGCGGGGCCCGTGCCGTAGGCGATCCCCGCCCTTGGGTGGGTGCAAGCGAAGAGATTGTCTGCGTCTGGACGCGTTCCTGTGTGACCTACTCTAGGTGGTCCTGCTCTGGCAGGGGGGCTTGGACTAGGTGGTCTTTGGAGGTCGCTTCTGACCCCTAACATTCTGTGATTCTGTGACGGGGTAGGACGAGGAGCCCCTCGAGAGAGTCTTCGGGCTCCCGGCGTCAAGGGTTCTTTCTTAAAGGCGACGAAAAGGAGCCGGCGGGAGCGGAGCCGGCAGAGGCGCGGGGACCGGGAGGCG